TTCGCCAGCTTTAACGCTGCCGTTGGGTGCGTCGTTCATGGGCCGATCGGAACTCGGGACGGGATCCGATGTGGCCTGCGCATCGATCTGTGTGTCCTTGAGCTTTTCCCTAACATTCTTTCCTTCGCTATCGCTGCTCTTATCGCTCCGTGCTGGGGACGTGGGCGCAGCTTTGGTGGTGTCGTCGGAGGCGGCAGCAGCTGCAGTTGTCACCTGCGGCTTCTCTGGCGCGTCTGTCATGGTGCAGGACGGGTTGTGTTCCAGGCGTGGGGTATGTTGGGAGTGCGCTTGGTGGATGGTGTAGCAGAGTAGTAGTAGGAGTCGCAGACGTTGGTGCGTGAGAAGGCAGTTCTTGGGCGGTCGCTGAAATGCCTGTGTGGTTTGAGGTTGTGAATTGAGACAGTGCAAGCTTGAATAAGGACAATAGTAACTATGCTCCGCGGTGAAGACCAAGTTGCGGTCGACGGCAGGGACAATCGCAGAGGTGGTGCTCCGCGAGGCTAGTGGCGACCTTGTAGGTGGACAATGCAGCGTGATGGCTCGTTGAGTGTGCGGCGGGCAGACGATGTCGGAAAACAGGTGCAGATATGAGCTGCAGGCTTGGATTGTCGAGCGGACGGAAGCAGAGCAGATGGGCCTTGTGGTTAGTGGAGTCGGTCAATGCGCTCTAGTACCAAATTTCCACTACAATGCGCCGAATGCAACAGTGTCTAATTACACCGTCGAGTCCAGAACGCGACTGCAACGAGAGGAATGCAGACAAGGCGCGCCGTGTGTGTTGAGCGGTTAGGGGGCCGAGTGTTGGCGCTTCAGTCGGCGGTCGTGGTCGAGTGTGTTGTCGCTGCAAAGACCAATGACGAAGTGGGGAAGACAGACGGCTAATCATGAACACGGGTAGCAGCAACAACAGCGTCTACCGCTACTTGGGACATGAACATCAAGTTTACTGTAGACGTCTAATAAGTACTACTGATTGTATTGGAATGGATTTGTGAGGCTCATGAATAGCTATTTCTACAGCTTGTCCGTAACGCCAGATACCCAGCCAAACACTTTTGCATGCACAACAATGCTGCACTAGCTGATGAAGCACAGGCAGCCCAGAGCAACATAAAATACAAACAAAGGGTATACTGCGATGCCGACGCGGTTCCTTACGACTCCAGAGCCGCCCATGATGCTCACTCCCGCTGCTAGCGACCAGGCGATGAGAACGATGTAGACGGGGATGCGCACTATCATGGGTATGCCAACGGCGCTGAGGATGGAGGCAATGACGAGCGGGAAGAGCGTGTAGCCGATAATAGAGATGGACTGGAAGAAGGCACTGGACACGATTAGCATGTCAAAGGCGTAAGGTAGGTGTGCAGAGGGGACGTACATGTTGCCTCCCAGCAGCTTGATCTGCAGCGTCACGACTGCCTCGCCTATCCAGACCATGGCGAAGACGCCGGAGAAGACCAGGTCCTTCTGGTCGCCCTTTGCTCCCCACGAGAGGAACAGGCTCAGCAGCAGACAGAAGATGAGTGGGCCCCATAGGTCCCAGTCGCGCAGGCCCTCGCTCATGCCGCCCTGCAGAATAACATCTGCGTCCGGCCATCGCCCTGCAATGTTCCTGAGCCCACCGCCAAAGCCGTCGGCCTCGCCGCGCTCTGCGGCGCCAATGCCTCCCCCGCGCTGCATGATGCCGCCCAGCAGGTACTTGGGGTACAGCACCTGCTTCATCTTCTCCCAGATGGCGAAGATGTCGCGGGACAGCGTGTCCCATACCGTCTCGTCGATGGTGTTTGTGGGCGCACGGCGGTCTTCGCCGGGGATGCTCGACGTCAGGTACGACTGCGTCTGCGCAGGGTCGCGCTGGATGTTGCCCGTCAGCGGCGCGCGGTCCGACGTGCCCTGGAGAGGATCGTCGAGGTCATCGAGGGTAGCTGGTGATGGTTAGCCTCGTCGCCCGTCTCGTCGCGCAGGCAGGTGTGGATGCGACGCACCATCGTCCGGGTCAATCAGGTCACGCTCCACGGCGTCGCTGTCATAGGGGTTGCTAGTTGCGGCACTTGGCATCATTGCCGCCATGGTGGAAAACTGAAAACCCTGCGTTCACGGGTCGCGGGCTAATGCTCCAATCGGCAGCTATCGTGGGTTGTTGGAGAGGCTCTGCTGTCCTCAAGCCTACGCGCAAGCTCTCGGGGCCTCCAGATGTCACGCCTGAGGGTGCGCTACTCGACTCGGCTAGCATCCCGCCAACGGGGAAAGCTTGAGCGGCTTAGCGCGCAGCCCTTCACTGGCCGGGCGTCACTCCCACCGTCTAGCTCGCGGCCATGCATACTGCCCCTGCGGCCGTTTCGCCGTATTTCGCACGCGGTATATATACACCTAACCACCATCGTCCGCCCTAGACACACTCCACGCACATTTCGGCCATCATGACGGACCCCGTTTTGAACGACATCTCCCACAGGCGCTTCAACCTCCTGCGAGGAAGCTGGATACTAGTCTCTCCCCACCGCACCAAGCGACCATGGCAGTAAGCATATCAGCGATACTGCTCACGGGACGACTTACTGAAAACCCACAGAGGCATGCAAGAGTCGCCGTCCAAGACAACCCTCCCAGACTATGATCCAAAGGTATCCCTTCGCCCGGACCATGTCTAATAACATTCCGAAATTAATCAACCCCAGTGTTATCTATGCCCTTCAAACACGCGGGCAAATGGCGAGCACAACCCCAAGTTCGACAACACTTTTGTCTTCGTCAACGACTACAGTGCCGTTATGGAAGAGCAGCAAGAGTACAACCCTGACAACAAGGACGGATCTCTCGCTTCTAGATTACTCCGTGCCGAGGCCGTCACTGGAAAGTGCTATGTCATTTGCTTCTCTCCGTCTCACAACCTCACTCTTGCCGACATGTCGCCGGCGGAGATCGTCCCCATAATAGAGACCTGGACGAACATTTACGTTGCACATCTGGACCCAAAGTCGCCTCTAGCCAAGCTTGCGTCTGCCACTACTATACCACCACTATCACAAGGCACTCTCGCAGTTCCAAATGCTCAGTATCGGTATATGCAGATCTTTGAGAACAAAGGCTCGGCCATGGGCTGCTCAAATCCCCACCCACACGGCCAGGTCTGGACGACCACATCCCTACCGGAAGAGCCCGCCTTGGAGCTGGTGCAGTTGAGCAAATATCGCAAAGAGAATGGAGGCGCTCATATGCTCGTCGATTATGCAGAGCTGGAGTCAACACAAAAGACCCGCACTGTGTATGAAAACGCGAGTTTCTGGGCTGGTGTACCTTACTGGGCAGTCTGGCCGTTCGAGATCATGATTGTTCCTAAGCAACACAAGCGCTCGCTGGTAGACTTCTCTAAGGAGGAGCGAGCGGAGTTGGCTGAGTGCATAGCGGAAATTACGAGGCGCTACGACAACCTGTTCGAGACCCAGTTCCCCTACAGTAAGTCCAAAACAGTCATAATAGAGAGACATGGCTAACGAGGTTGAAGGCATGGGTCTTCATCAGGCTCCCCTTACTGGCACAGCCGACGAGATTGAGTCCAGTCATTTCCACATTCACTTCTACCCCCCACTACTGCGAAGCGCCACCGTTCGCAAGTTCCAGGTTGGCTACGAGATGATGGCCGAGCCTCAGCGCGACATCACCCCAGAGCAGGCTGCAGAGCGTCTTAGGGCGTGCGACGGTGAGCTTTACCGCAAGAACCTTGCATCTTCGCCAGACACCAACGGCGTAAACGGGGATCACTAAGATCCCGGCGCGTTTATTATTCAATTTTGCTTTCACATGCACATAGACCATTCGACACACTGTGAGCCTGGTTAGTCACATGCTAAGTGCACGAGCTATTGGGGATGGGAGAGTAGATACCCAAGAAGACGACACACGATACACGATAAAGGTAGAGAGTTGCATAAAGCGGAGTGCTGCAGCGGCGTTGGCAGGCATAACAGTGCATTACATTATCTTTTCTCGAATACACGTTCAATCTCAACTGTATCACATACTGTGCATATGGCCTCGTGAGCAACCGTACCATGTGCTGTGTCCCGCTAAAAACGTCATGCCGCGGATGCTGCCCTGCCCCACCATGATCGTGCGAACCTGATCTCGACCCCGCGCTACTACCACTCGGCAGCAAGCTCTCCTTCAACTAGTTCACCGACAAACAATCACCACCACCTACCTCCCTAAACACATCTACCACCGTAAGATTACCCTACGGTCTGGACACAGGAGTAATAGACAAGAAGCTAACAGCAGGACTCTAGACCAATATGCCTGGAGCCAAGTACACCGAGACCTACAAAAAGGTCAGCGCCATGGGCGAGAAGCTCAAGGCCGCTGGAAAGCAGGGACCTAGCAACGATGAGCAGCTACACGTACGCGTTTTCTTGTTTACCCTCCCCCGCACTCTCTCCCCTTCTCGTATATCCGCTATATACCACACGAAGTCCAGATGCTGACAGTCGGTTGTGAATTCTAGTTGTACGCGTACGCCAAGGTAGCAGAGGGCAAGGACTTCAGCGAGGCCAAGAAGCCTGGCATGTTCGATCTTGCTGTACGTTTCTGCATACCTTTCCTATACCTTCGTATCCTCCTTCACGACGTACCGCCTGCCAGCCATACATACCGGTCCAATCCCAACAAACGTACGAGGACAATAACTGATAATATGATTAGGGCAAGGCCAAGTACAACAAGTGGAAGGAGGTTGTTGACGCCGGTACCACCCAAAAGGAGGCCGAGGACAAGTACGTCGAGTTGGGCGAGCAGCTGTTGGCCAAGCACGACAACTAAGTGCGGGTGGATCATCAAGGCAAGACTCATGTGCGATTTAAGTATTGCTATGGTTATACCATCGCCTATATATTGTTATAAGGATCAACGATAAGAAGTGCCTCATCGACATATGTGTAGTACATGTGCTTCGGAAATGCAAGGGCCTGCATGCGCTCGGTACGGAATCTGAGTACCGAAGCTCAACGTCCATAGCCGGCCCAGGCGTGCCCCTCTCTGTCTGGCTCCATGTATTGCATAGTAGCACACCAAGGCCTCTCATCAGCCGTATAAGAACGAAGTGGTAAGTCGTATGCCATGCGGCAACCCACGACTGTCGTCTTCTTCTCTTCAGCTGCCGTTCCGCTGCTACTATCATCAAGAGCATTGAGACTCTCAGGACCAGGCATATCCTCCCCAAAAACAGGAACCATGATGACTTCCTCCTGTGTCTGAGCACACAAAGCAGGCCAGACAACAACCCCTACCTCCCACGACTGTATCCAGATCTCATCCTTCTTGTTCACCACATCGCCCCACGCTTGCTTGCTCAGGTTTGCGCTCGTCACCATTGCCCAGTCGATAGTCTTGTGCTCTTCGTCACTGAAACGTATGTATGTTTTGATATGTGGCGCCGCAGAGCCACGATGCGCTTCCTGTCTTGCTGGACCATTCGAGGACGAAGAAGACGCGTGACTCCAGTGGCATAGCATCGGATGCATATACTCCAGTTGTTTCTGCTGCTGCGCTGATTGAAGTTTCCAATGAATTGACCCACCAGATGCGTAGCCGTCAAGAGAACCCCGGATTTCCTCTGGAGTTGGGAAGATGACACTGTACTTAGGAGTTCGCGACTTTCCTACGTTGGACTCACGTTTGGCGAAGAAAGATGAGGCTTGCGTCGAGGAGGGTGACTGTTCACCGGAGTTGGCTACCGCTGTTGCCGAATGGGATGCAAGCACTGACTGGAAGTTCGAGAGCCATGTGGGCGCCGCACCCAGTGTCGCTATAGAGGAGATTTGCGTCACGATATGAGGGCGCACAGAGTCTCTGGATCCTGTAACAGGAACACTAGAAAGCACCTCCCTCAATCCTAGCCACCCAAAGGAGGTTACCGAAGGGCTAACTGCAGCGGGCTTCTGTCGTGATGGTGCACTTCCAATGAACGCGGCTCTGATACTTGAGAAATCATAGTCCCGAAGTTGCGTAGTCAGTCCTCTCAATCGTTTCTCGTATGCACTCAAATATCGGAGGATATCAACTTTGAAGCGCTCGCCGCTCCCAATAGGGTGAACTTGAGGAGAGTCTGGCTGGGATGGCGTTGCTTGAACCAAAACAGGTAACAAAGGCGACTTCCATACTGCTTGAGTCATGTTGGCCCAGTCGCGATAAATCATATTAGCTGTATGGATAATGATTTGTGCAGTGTCATCATGGCGAAAGAGGATAAGCATCTTCGTGTGGTGAGTTCCGAACGGATCCGGAATGTAGGCGCTCAGAAGCTCGATATTCGGATACCGCTCCGCTGTTTCCTGGATCATTGTCAACTCCTATCAACACTGTGCGGGCAAGAGTATTCACGAGTAGGGCGATCCTATTACCATCATCCCGCTTCCAGAAACCATGCACGATCTTGACTTTGATCATGTCTCTCACATCGCTGTCGAAGTGCTGCCTGAATATGGTTAGCATCAGGACTCGAGCCGGGAGCTGCGTTTAGTCTCGGCGATAGCTACGGGACTTACATGACAAAGTCTAAATCGAACAGAAAGTTAAAGTTCCAGCATTCCTTAATCAACGGATCACCGAGCAAGTCCGACAAGCACACAGCATCGACATTCTGATGTGCCGGCAGCTTCTCGATTTTCGTCAGCTGTATTGGCGAAGGGCAATATCGTGGTTCCCCGGTCCTGTCGCTATCATGATGTGGTGTAGCTGGTTTGGCTGGTCCCGACGCCAATGCTGGTTTCGGTACTCCATCGAAACTCCAAGTCGGCGTAAATGACGGTGGCTCGGGGCTTTTGCGCCGCGGTAATGGTGGGCTGATTGGCTTGTTGAGTCCTGCATGATGGTCGGACTTCGTGACTTCTCTGCTCGGGGAGTCGTCATCAAGCTTGCGGCGTTTTGATGGCGGGGCATCGCTAGGTTGTTGGGACGCCATTACGGTCACGGCGCGATGACGGCAATGCAGTCGCGATCAATCGTAGCTCGGCGCTGTGTAGAGTTGGGTGTCAGGAATCGCGTTGCATCTTGTTGACACGGCGGAGGCACGGTCCACTTGACCATAGCAGGCAGTCACTGGTGTCAAATAGATCAGGAAAGAACACATAGCTGTGGTATAAGGAAACATCGATAACGATCAGACATTACAAAAGAGCAGTCACGACAGCAAATGATGGAATGTGAAGTGTAAATGGATATCATTCTTGATTTAGACCGTAAAGCTCACTTTTCAAAGCTTGTGCTCATCAAAGGCTACAAACATACGCCGTCTAATAGTGTTTGAGCATCGTCTCCATGATGCTTGCTAGCGAACGCTGTGAAATGAAAACATAATTATGCCTACACAAAACGAAAAGGCATCCCAAACGCCGGGCATCGCTAAATGGAAATGAAGAATACTCTAGGCCGCGCTGGCGCTGAGCATAGGTTGTGCGACCTTGGTAACTTGGTTACCCGCCCGGATTATTGGGTTGCCTTGTTCGTCCTTGACGATGTTGACCTCCTTGTTCTCCTTCTGGGCACGCTTCCAGATCTCAACCTCGCATCCACCGCGGATGACACCGACCCTCATTGTAGAGAGCAGGTTGTGGGCGGCGTTGGAGTGGAAGTAGACACCACCGTTGAACATGGCGGTAGCGTCCTTGCCGATGCCGCTCTTGATGAGGGTCTTGCCACCGGGGTGCTCGTTGATGAAGTCGGTGACGTCGTGGACAACACCGGCGACAGCGATCAGACCGCGACCGTTCTTAGCCTGCTCAACGTAGTCGTCCCACTCGATGACGGGAAGCTGCTCAAGAGGAACACCCCAGTCGAGCTTGGCGCGCTTCTGGTCAATCTTCTTCTGTAGCTGCTGGACGCGACCCTTCTCGATCTCGTTGGCACGGAACTGCTTGAGGTTGGAGGCGAGGCCGAGCTTGCTCCACAGCCAGATGGACCACTTGGTGGGGTCGTACTGGTGCCACTCGATAGCGTTACGGTAGTCGGAGGGGAACTCGTGGTGGAAGTTGTGGTAGCCCTCACCGAGAGTGACAAGGGCGGTGATGACGTGGTCCCTGGGGCTGTTGCGGTCGTCGAAGGGCTGGTCGCCGAGCCAGTGGGCAAGGGAGTTGACGCAGAAGGTAGCCTGCTGGACGAAGAAAATGCGGAGGATACCGGCGTAGATGAAGCCACCCTTCCAGTCGTTCCAGAGGAGACCAGCGACAGCCGAAGGGAAGATCAAACCCATGAAGATGACGACCTTGATGTAGTGCTTGTGCTGCCAAACGACGACGGGGTCCTCGTTCAAGTCGGTGATGTCGGTGCGGCCGATGCGCTTGGGGTTCTGCTTCATGACCATCCAGCCAAGATGGCTGTAGAGAAGACCCTTGCGGACGCTGTAGGGGTCCTTGTTGGTGTCGGTGTAGCGGTGATGGGCACGGTGGTCGCGGCTCCACCAGCGGATGGAGCCCTCAACAGCACCGCCGCCAACGAGGGCGAGGAAGACGCTCAGTGGGAGGGAGGCGTTGTAGGACTTGTGTGCCCAGAGACGATGGTAGCCGGCGGTGATGCCGAGACCAGTCCAGAAGTAGTACACGACGGCCCAGAGGGCGGTCTGCCATTTGAGAGGGGTCCAGAAAGCCGCGACGCAACCGGCGAGGGGGATGCCGATGATGAAGGTGACCTGATCCCGTGTTAGCCAATGGCTCTGATTTGGGGGGCAAGAGCAAACTTACGTTGAGCCAGTTGACGTGCTTGTACCAGTTGGCCTTGGTGATGGGTGTTTCGGTGATGTGTGGCTTCTTAGGGTCGTACTTGGGATTGCGGTTCGGCTCCGAGGTGCTCGCCATGGGAGACGGCTGCTTGACGTATTCGGGGTCGACGGCCATCATGCCGGCGGTAGGCTGGTGGGAAGGCATGGTGAGGAGGTGGGTAGGGTGGTTGTAGGTAAAGCGAGGGCGGTCGAAGAAATTCGACGGGAAGCAACTAGCGGCTCAAAAAAGTTGAGCTCCGGTCAGCCTCCGGCGTGAGTACAAAGCTCCAGCAACGATGGAAAGCTTCACCACGATCAAGTGAATGACGGGGTAGAAGATGTGAGGGAAGGAGCAGTGGAGGGAGGATGAGGGGAGGCAGAGACAGCGGGCGGCCGAGCGTGTTAATAAGGCGGCGGGACAGTCTTGAATCCCAACACTCTGCGGGCGTGTAAGCGAAAGACTGGGACCTTGCATTGTCGCTCGAGATCCAGCAATCGCCGCAACTTTGGTCATAGCCAGCCTAGCGCGCCGCACTAACCGCTGTCTCAGGGTCCCGCACAGGACGAGGGACGGCGCTGGCTGCAACAGCGCGAGAAAATTTCGGGCCTAACTGGCACGTCGTGCTGATCTCGGCATCGAGACAGTCGCTGGGTGGCGGTGCGCGCGCAGACGTGCAGAATATCCAGCAATCCCAGGCCGCCACCTTCCCCAGATTCTGATTAATCCCACACGCGGCGGCCCTATTTCCTACACATGGCCCGGCTGCTGCTTCTAGCCGCGACGTCGCGAAGACGATCGCAAAGAGCGGTCTGGTGCAGACGACCGGCAGCGCGAGCCGGCGAGAAGGATGCCTCACTGCCCAGGCGGGCATAGAACCTCACGCCGTGGTGAGGCCACACGTCTCGTCATCGCTAGCTCGCTAGCTGTCCTCTCCGCTTGATGCCCCGCTGGGCCACGCCTGCAGTCGACGAAGCGTGAGCCGGATGCAGACGCGACACCACGTTCGTTGGGAAACTGTTGATATCGCTCTGCATCCGCCCTACCCAAGTCTTCTGCAGCCTTACGTAGGCTGCGACGACATGTTTCACGCAGTGGCAAAGTGCTCGGCTTGGATGCCCAGTGGGTCTCAGACGTCCATGACTTTTTCGATGGCGCTTGTGCTTGGAGAAAATCGTCAGTGCTTCACAACGTTGTGGAAACCGTGAAGGGTCTTCTTCCGCTGGCGCAAATTCCCCGGCACGCTCCAAGCTCGGGTGCTGGGTGCTGGTGCGCCATCGCAAGCTCTGCTCGATTGGGAAACGGCCCTCCTCAACACCTGCTCTGCCTGTCTCCAGCCCATACAGACACACGTCCATATCAGTCAAGACGCGCGCCCACCATCGCGACGTCGATAGCATGCAACAGCCTACGAATCAACGTGCGTTTGCTCACCTCGGCTCCCGGAATCTGTTGCGTCACACCCGCTGCCCTCTCCGTGTCGTCTCATTCTCATGCCACAAGGTCAACGGTCGTCCCAACGTCCTAACGGGTAGGGCTGAAGGCAAACTGCTGGCGTGCGCTCAAGCTATGACGAGCCATTCTTGCAAAAGCTGGTTGCGGCACCCTGACTGCGTAGCCCTCGTTGACCCTTGCCAAGGCGCAGTCTGTGGCAGAACTTGCGCTGCGTTTCGTTGATGAAATAACTGCTTCTTCGCTGTCTTCTACGTCCTACCACGTCGGCACAGTACATGTTTTTCCATCTAGCAGTGCTTTCATGTTCTGTCATCTGCAACCGAAACACGATCAGCCAGAGACCAACTCTTGAGACTTACAAAAACCAGAAATTCTACCTAGAACGTACTCACTTGCTCTACACAAGGAAGTACAATGACCTACGATGGTACTGTACATAGTTGCTGGAATTTTGAATTGGAAAGCTGTGGAGGGAATCAACGTAGTCCTGCGCAGTCTCTCTTGGTAGGTCTCAGCGAGGCTCCGATCACCGGCTGCTGCCAACCAGAACACCAAGTCGCCCAGCATGGACGCGCTCAGCACCGCTGCATCGGTAACCGGCGAACAGGATCTTCTGACAGCAATCGGACTCAGATCTAGATGCACATTCCTCCAGTACAGTGTGGGAGGCCTCTCCTGCAATATCTCCCATCCTCTATCGTCGGAGTGGTCCGCCCGCCAAGTGGACACATTCGCCCAACAGCCAATCACCGTTTTCCTACCTATCAGTACAGGCGATCGTTTTAGCACATACGCGGGTGTCGCCCCTCTGCCACTGCGAAATGCGCGCCGTAGCGACGAATCTGCCGTGGAGAAGGGTAATTATTCGCGGCGGCTCACGACTATCTTCGGCCAGCTCCAATCTTTGGCGGTCCGTGAGTGGCCTTGGATTCGGGGCTAGGACGTTGTGGAGGAACAATTGTGTATCG